AAGAATCCCAGGGTTCCAGCTTCAGTCTCTGTTCTCATAGTCATAGTGGGGAAGGGCCGGCCAGTAAATAGGGACTTGGAGCAAAGATGAATCACAAACCACATCCCAGACAAAGGGAGGCTGGGGATCTACAAACACAATGTAGGGCACCAAGTCCAAAGGAGGATAGACTGAAAAAGGAATTTTAAGTAAAGGAAAGCAAAATTGGAATCAGTGGTTTGGGGAGCCAGGAGAGTCTCTCTTGACTAGCACCCCTTTTCTAGAGGTCTATGACAATGACTGTAGATGAGGACAGAGTTATTAAAGATGCTGAGCAAGTTCAGACACAGGACAAGTGTATCTGCAATTGTTGGTCCCCTCATAACATCCCTTTCCCAGTAGATTGAGTCCTAGGTCTGGGATTCACATTGTCAGAGTCCATAATCTCTAGAAAACAATACTCTACTCTCTACTATCTTCTGATACTACAGTAAAAATGTGTTGCAGGAAAGGAGGAAGGCTACTAAAGTTAGACAAGGCCCCGGAAGTGTGAGATTCTCATTGAAGAGCCCCCAGAAGTTGTCGTCCAATTTTGGGCATGAGCAGGCATTATGTTAATTACTCAAGAAGATCCAGATGGCATGTCTGAGGACCTGAGGCCAATCAGCAGAATGCCTCTGCTGCTCCTTTTCCAGGAAAACATATAAGGAAACCACACTGGGTTGACTGTAATTGGCGGTGCTAGACTTTTTTTGAGTAGGAGAGCTGAAACCAGAGCTGGTGGAGAATGAAGTGTTCTTGGTAGGTGAATTAGTGTGCTGTATTTGAATTATGATGTGGCAAGATAGATGGAGAAAGGGCAACACAGGTATTCTTTAGATGCCTGAGTGATAAACTCCACTGGATTTGGGGCAGAGAGATATTAAGTGACCTTGACCAGAGGAAAAATGAGGGTGCTGGTTAGGAAATAGGTATACAGAGGCAGAAGTTCTTGTTGGTAAGTGGTTCAGAAAAGACTGAAGAAATTAATAGGAAGTAGGTGAAATGGTTCAGTGGCCAAACACTCACCTTGGCAAAGAATTCCATCACTACTACTATCAGAAGAGTCATGGTCATACAAGGTGAGTAGATTGAAGACAAAATTAGAGTAGTTATTTCACAGGAGACTATAGAAAATGGCAAAATCCAGGACAAAAGCTAGATCCTTACAATTAATCAAAGGGTTCTTTTGAATCTTTTGCCTCAGAATAATGGAAAACAACATATGGAAACAAAATTGTTTTTAAAAAAAGCATGCAAAAACAGAAAATAAGTTTGAATGTTAAGATACATCTTATATCTTCAATTACTTAAATCTATTTGGTCAGCAGTGTTTATGTACTAGGTGGAACTAGGCAGAGGCATGATAGAATGTGTTAAGGATTAGAGTTAAGGCACTCTTGCCTCCATATTGGTATACTAATTTTTTTTTTTTGCTGAGGAAGATTTGCCCTGAGCTAACATCTGTTGCCAATCTTCCTTTTTTTGCTTGAGGAAGATTCACCCTGAGCTAACACCTATGCCACTCTTCCTCTATTTTGTATGTGGGTAGCTGCCAGAGCACGGCCACCAATGAATAGTGTAGGTCCACAGCCAGGAACTAACCCCTGGCCGCCGAAGTGGAGTGTGCTGAACTTAACCACTAGGCCACAAGGCTGACTGCTGGTATACTTTTTAGTGGGCTGAGTTTATTGGAAATATTTCCTTCCTTCCTTCTTATTTAACTTCCACCTTTCCAACTTATGCAATTATTTCCATACTTGATTCATAGCTAAAAACTTTATTTATTTCATTACTTTTACCTCCAATTATTTTTCTTTTATCTGGGTTATCTCCCAACTAAGTTGCCTGACACATAAACATCAATACCATTTTATCTTGCCCACCAAAAATGTTTTGTGGAAGTGGTGAACGTGTTCAACCAGATAGAGCCTAATTAAGAACGTAAAACATCGTCTCCCCATTTGTCCTATGTTATCATAATTTAATTCAAGCCATTTCACATTTTATGAGCTATGCTTACACAACATGTAAGAGTCTACTTGGCCTAACTCCTCCTATGAAAGAAATTCAAGAAAAATTTTTTGAGGTCAGCAACTCCTCTTGCCTTTCAGTTCTTAAATCAAAGTCTGAGTAAAGTTCAGGACTGCAGTCACTATAATTCAAATTCATAATTCAAAGGGAGTGAACTAAGTTCAGAGTTCAAAGAATGACTGAGGAAATATTCTAGATCCTATAGATTTCAGATTCCTGGCCATAAATTAAAAACTTTTCAGACTTCTATCCCAAGGTGCCAACTTCTGCCCTTGCAATTGTGAGAAAAAGGCAGGGGCCTTGGAAAAGTTCTCTTTTAAAAACATCCCCTCAACAACTCACACTAACTCAGGAATTCACTGAAGGGTAGATATTTTTTAAATGTTATTATCTTGCCAGTAAGTTTAACCCTGTCAGATATTACCACCTCCATGTGAATTAATCAATTAGAAATATGTACGAGCTTTCTTTCTGCCTAACAACTGGTTGAGATCCATGAAATCAGAGAAGAGGAGCCTCTGTGGCACCCCAAGAGGACAGACATGGGTGATGGAAGGTTGAGGCCATGGAAGGGCAGCATTCAGCTCCTGAGGGGGAGGGTGAGAGTGATGGGGAAGTGGGAGAAGTGTGCAGAAAGCTGGGGGAGGGGAATGTAATTTTCTATAGTTTGCAATCCTGCTCCAAGGGCCCAGTTGGTCACATATCATAGGACAGGTGTGACCTAATATGAGTTTGTCATTTTTCTATTGGTATAGTCCCACAATACATCTTTTTGTTGTAGTTGTTTTTTTGGTGAGGAAGATTCACCCTGAGCTAACATCTTTGCCAATCTCTCCTCTATTTTGTATGTGGGATGCCTCCACAGCATGGCTGATGAGTGGAGTACGTCCATGCCTGGGATCTGAACCTGTGAATCCAGGCCACAGAAGTGGAGCATGTGGAACTTTAACCATTTGGCCACAGGACTGGCCCCCACAATCCATTGTTCAAAAACCTATGAGAGAACAAAGCTGAATTATCAAAAGCTAAAATGGCATTGAACCTGTCAGCGTCCAATGGTCTCAGTGTTCTGCCTGGCTTGTGAAGTATTCTCAAACTCTCTCCCATGAATCTATGACTTTACATGGGACTAGGGACACTGCACATCAGCCTTCATCCTGCTGGCAAGAGGACCCCAGGCAAAAATTCAAAATACTGGAACACTGCCCTTACTACTTCTGTATTCCTGATACTTCCCTCCCTCGCCACTCGGGCAAGCTAGGCAGCTTTTGGCCTAGTACCTTCCTGTGTTTTGACCTACATTTCAGTAGTTAGTATCAACCTGGATCAGATGCAAAAGCACGTCCTGCCTGGTACCATGTTGTTCATCCAGGGCTGGCCATCCATTTGTTAGCAATCATCTGATTGGCTATTCCCTGAAGCTCGGTTCTTGCCCTGGCCACCCTTGGAAAGGACATACAAACCTAGGTGAGGTAAACCATCCAGATCCTTTCTGGGCAAATATCTCACTCATTCATTCATTCATTTTGAAAACTCTAATTGAACACCAGCTTTATGCCAAGGCTGAGGGATAGAAAGATACACAGACAGTGGTCTCTATCTTGGAAGGTATCACAGCCTTTTATAAAGGCAGCGAAGATTGTAGTGACAATAACCCATATTTAGTTAGTCACTGCAATCTGATGATTCTGGAGGAGGCAGCTGGCATCTTTCCTGATGCTCCCGCACAGATGTTGAGGGCGGGGGATGGTGTGCTGATTAAGGCAAGGAAGTTAATAGAAAGGGAAGACTGCATATTCCAACATTGCTGTAAACTCCACCTACAGTTCTCAAGACACCATGTAGAAATAGTAAAAGGCAGCCATCTACTTCTGTTGGGAGAAGGGGAGTAGAATTGCAGCTTATTTTAATAATCAGTGTTGGAAAATGGAAAAATAGAGGTTTTTGAATGCCACTGTGGCTTGCATAATTCTGAAAAAACAAAACAAAAAGTTTTGGGACAGTGTTCTGGCATGTTTCCTTAATAACAGTCTTGTTTATGAAGAGTATTTGAGATAAGGCCTAGAGCCTAGAGCAAATAAAAGGAGGAATAAACCTAATTACCTGCATGACTACTAAAACTAGTTTGTATGATGACATTGGCCAAATATATACCCTAATACTACAACACTGCTTCTATAGGAAAATTTAATTTTACCTCTATCAGTTCAAGTACAGGACTTTTTCCAGATGTGTCAATGTAAGGTAATACACTCAGGTACTCAGGCCCAATGTAGCTTCATTGAGACAGAACTCTGCGAAGGACACAGCTTCCTTGGTTCTGCCATCCATGGACACTGGGGAGTACCGTGTCCAGATGCCACTGACAATGAAAAAAACTTAACATTGGTGCTCAGCACATGTCTAATTGGGCAGAGTAATACATTCGTGTCCTTTGAAATGGCTATTGTCTTTGTCCAGTGCTTTTCTAGAGGAGAAGGCTGAGTTCTGCTTGGGAAAGAACAGAGAAGGGTGGAAACTCCCAAGGGGACCAGAGCCACCTTCTCAGAGGCAGATCAGTGACCAGTTGTTGTTACTTGAGCTCATCCCTTGGAGGATTCACTACAATGGCCTACCAAAGTATTTCTGTCAAATACATAATAACTGTCTTGAAAGGCTTCTGATAATCACACTAAACAAGCCTTTTGCAGCTTTCCAGTCATGCATTATTCCTCACTAATGGCTTATTGACTCAAAGGGATGGCATCACAAGCTACTTAATGCAATACTGATGTGAAAAGTAATTTTCTGTTTGGAGAAAAAGCTGAAAACAGATCCTTGAGTTTCTCAGGGAGTCTTGGGTTATACCATTAAGTAACCTCCTTTCTCTAGTAAAGAGAAGTAGCTCTGGGAATTACTGTTTAATCATGTTATACCCAGATTATTTACACAATGATGTAAACACTGAATTTATATGGTGCACTTAACATTTTTCAATATTTTATTATTTCAAGAACATGTTGCCTTGTATATAGCAGAATATCCATAAGCATTTGCATATTAATTGATTATTGAATCAAATTCTTAATTTACATTTTAAAAAGAAACATCCAAGAAGTAGGTTTGCCACTGCTTTAAAAGATATAAATCAGTGTTTCTACGGCCGTGGAAAATTATAATAAAGGTTTTTGTTGTTAGTGTCGTGGAGTCAATTCTGACTCCTAGTGACACTGTGTATAGCAGAGTGGAATCCTGCCTGTCTTTTTGCACCATCCTCTCACCATTCCATGCTATATCACACAATGCTTGGCTGCTATTCATAGGGTTTTCTTGGGCAGTTTTTTCAGAAATGGGTTGCCAGTTCCTTCTTCCTAGTCTGTCTTAGTCTGGACACTCTGCTGAAAGATGACCCTGCTGGTATATGAAACACCAGTGGCATAACTTTCAGCCTCACAGCAACATAGTTGCTACAGTATGACAACTGGGCCATGGCGGTGAGAGCACCAGATTTTAACCACTAGACCACCATAATAAAGGTGCTAGAAAATGTACTATAACATCTGTAGAGGGTATGTAGAAGGAAATGCCCCTTACAATCAAAATCTCAAAAATATCAATGCAAGGTGGAGACGGCATGACTAAACAAAGCTAACGAAGAAAAGGTATGGAGGCCAGTCAATCATACACTGACCTGCTGTGCGCACCACTGTTGGGGAACATGATTCACTCATATGACAGAGTACTGACAAAATTATTATTGTTGATGTTACTCTCATCTTTATCCACAAAACACACATCAGAGTCTATTAACAAATGGACAAATCGAACAGGGATATCCTAATTAGTACTTTTCAGTGCTTACACAGAATTGAGGAAGGACAAGTGGCTTCAAATACAACAGAAAATATTCCATTCAATAAAAGTATCTTGAGAAAAATATTAGAGCATCGCTTTCCTGGTTTAGAATATCTTCAAGAAGAAAATTCACATCCATCTGTGACGGTTTGAAAAGAAGAGTCAGCTGGAGGAGGAAAAGAGGTTAAAGGAGTTAATCTCTTCGGGTTCCTCTGGTATTAAAATGACCCTAGTTCTTTTTTAATTGGATTTTTATTAGCGTAGCTTTCAGTGGTAACACACACCTTCCCAAGTTGTGAATAAGCACTCATACAGTAAATATCTTACTCTGCAAAGCGCTGACTCTGGTCCTTGAGAGCAGGAACACTGCCTTAATAGGTGCCCAATAGGTGTCCTGTGAATATAAACTTAGAGGCTTAGGACAGGGTCTTTTCAAAGACCTTGAAACATGGAAATTGTTTACAAAATGCAGTGTCTTTGTATATGCACATTTTCAGGGGAGAGGATCAGTCTCAAAGATGACTCTAAACCCACTGCTTTAGGGAATTTTGTCAGAAACATTGTGTTCTAACTGTTTGATGGTTTCCCAAACATCATTAGCTCTTAAACCTGTATGTCTTTGCTGAGGTTGGAAGAACTTCCTAGAACCCTCCATTGTGACCTTTCCCATAAAATATACTCCAGCACCACAAGATAGATGAAAGACTCTCTCTTCTACGCTCATGCAGCATTGTGCTCATTCAGCTATCACAGGATTTACCCATTTTGTGGTGGGATTCATGCATGCTGGGTTCCTGAACAGTTCATAAGCTTCCCTGGCAGGTCCAGCCTCTTATTCCTCTCTTGTGCCCCAGCATTTGGTATAGTTTCTGTAATCGTGGCCAAATAATACAGATCAAATTGAATTGATCCAACTACTCTCCTCTTCCCTCACTTCTTCCACACACAAAACACCTTGATTTCTGATCAACTTGTCACATTCAGGACAAATTCTGGAATTCCCTGTATTTCTTTAAGTTCTTCACACAGTAATTTTTCCTCAGGCTCCCTAGTCTACTACTTAGCGTAATTTTAAGAAAATACAGAAATGGTACAGGATTAAAATGGCCACTAATCTCATATTATCACAAAAGTCAGCTTTGTGTTTACAGTCTGCTTTTCTCTCTCTCGATTATTTGGCATAACTGACTGACCAAATAAAGCACTTTGGAGTATGAAATGAAACTAGAGGTTAACACTGTAATACATTAACGTTAATGGGACAGAAGTCAGAAGATGAGGACTCTGCCAATGTTTGATACTTTATTAGTATGTAGAAACTAATTAAACTGATTGCATTATTAGCATGGCTCATTATTTCTATGTGCTTTACTCTGACAGAGAGGGTGTCAAGTATAAAGTCTGATCTTAAATGGAGGCTTGCAATGACATTTACTTTCCTGAGCTGCAGAGCCAAATTAAAGTTTATGCTAGTTCTCCCTTGAAGCCAAAAGAAATATAGGTTTGAGTCAAAATTGCCTTATGATTCTCATATGAGGAGCCCAGGCTGAGTTCATCAAGTCAAGGCGTGTCCCGGGGGCACTGTTCTTAAATATGGAAAACTATCTCCTTATCCAGAGTCAGGCTTCAGCCACAATGAGATTATACTGAGCATCGTAAAAGGAAGAATGGGGCTCTGGTATCTTCAAATGAGAATATCCATCTATAGTACTGCAGTTTTTTTAGTGCCTGGATGTTTGTTTCTATAAAAATAATGGAGAAACTGAGAGGGGGCAATAAACTAAGATGAGTTTAAAAATATCAGTTAGGGAAACTACCAGATAACTTGGGCCTCAGAAAATTAAGGGAGAGTCAGGCATGAAATCAAGGCCCTAAGGAACTTAGTTTCAGGAAAGAACCCAGGAATCTTTCTCAGGAGTTGTAACCACTGGGACCTGGCCAAGAATCAATCTGGCACTAAAAGTCAACTGAAGAAGTGACTCACTTGGCAGAGGGAGAACCGCTGTGTGAGACAGCATGCGCACCATGAGTGCCTTTGGCCCCAAAGAGAAGTGCATGCATCCTCACATCACTTAGCGACAGCACTGGGGGCCTCCCAGGGGAAATGCTTCAGAGGAAAACTGCAAGAAGAATTTTGAAGTGAAGTTGAGAGGACATAGACAATGCATTGAACACAAAAAAACACATGAAGCCAGAGAACAGCAATATTTGCCTTCTCTCAGGTCAGATCACATCCCATGTTACAGTGGTCGTTCTCATTTAAGGGTTTTAAAAATCAACTTAAAAAAAAATCAACTTCAATCCCTTTTTAGGGTAACGTGACATTTGAGATGTAGAATATATGGGTTATTGAACTCAATTCAAGATTGTTTTAGAAAGTTTCTACTCTGAAGACTTCTTGATTGACAAGTTTTGGAATAAAGTTCATGTGGGGTGTATTTAAGGATTTATCAGAAACGTGATATTTTGAGATTGTTAGAAGGCAACTCTCTCCCACTCCTTGATAATAAGAGATAGGGAAATGCCTACAACAAAATGGGTGGGAATCCTCAGGACCTCTCAATCCCTGGAATCCATCCCAATGCTACTTTTACTATTGTTGCTAGCTCTATTTCTCCTGGCCCTACAGAATAAAACCATCTCTTTTTTGCCTGTGACTGCTTTCGACATTGTTAAAGATGCTTGTCAGGGTCTCTGAGCTTTCTCTTCTTCAATAAAAATACCCGTTGTAATTTCAGTATGTCCTCAAAAGATTCTGAGTCCTTCAATTGTCAAGGCTGCTTTTTTCCTGAATATGCTAGTTTATCAAGATATATTAGGCTCAGAATTTCATACAATATTCCTCAATAAATAAACATGAAAAGCATCAAAAAGCTGGTCTGACATCTGCAGAGAAGAGCAGAACCACTGTGTGGTATCTCTACTACTAGTCTGTGATGGGCTAACAGTTAGAGTCATGTGATTGATGCTCATGTGTTTTCTATTAAGTAAAAATCTAATTCATAATCACCAAAAATTGGAAGCAACAAAAATGTCCTCCAATAGGTGAACATTGTGAACAAACTGTGGTACATTCCTACAATGGAGTATTATTCGGCAATTAAAAAAATGAGCTATCAAGCCACGAAAAGACATGGAGGAACCTTAAATGCAAATGCTAAGTAAAAGAAGCCCATCCAAAAAGACTCCACACTATATAATTCTGGCTATATGCCATTCTAAAAAAGGTAAAACTATAGAAACAGTAACAAGATCGGTGGTTGCCAGAGATTGGGTGGAAAGAGGGCTCAACAGGTGAAGTACAGGGGTTTTTAGGGCAGTGAAACTATTGTGTGTGATACTATGATGGTGTATACATGACATAATGCAGTTGTCAAAACCATAGAACTATACAACACAAAGAGTGAACCCTAATGTAAACTATAGATGTTACTTAATAATAATGTACCAATCTTCGTTTATTGATTGTAACCAATTCTAGATGTTAACAATAAGAAAACATCAAAAAACCCCAAAAAACCAATCCTCAAACAAAACCTAATGTACTTATCTTTTTTTATTAGAAAGGAAATTTAATTATCAATTTTCAAGCATCGTTTTCACATCCATGTTTTTAATTTTAATTTTTTAAAATTTTTAATTATTTTTATTTTTTTATTGCAGTAACATTGGTTATAACATTATATAGCTTTCAGATGTACATCATAATATATTTTGAATTCTGTGTAGATTACATCATGTTTACCACCCGAAAACTAATTTTTTTTTTTTTTAAGATTTTATTTTTTCCTTTTTCTCCCCAAAGCCCCCCAGTACATAGTTGTATATTCTTTGTTGTGGGTCCTTCTAGTTGTGGCATGAGGGACGCTGCCTCAGCGTGGTTTAATGAGCAGTGCCATGTCCGCGCCCAGGATTCGAACCAACGAAACACTGGGCCGCCTGCAGCGGAGCGCGCGAACTTAACCACTCGGCCACGGGGCCAGCCCCCGAAAACTAATTATAGTCCATCCCCTCACATGTGAACCTAATCACCCCTTTTGCCCTCCCCCCTCCCCCTTCCCCTATGGTAACCACCAATCCAATCTCTGTTGCTATGTGTTTGTTTGTCATTGTTTTTATCTTCTACTTATGAGTGAGATCATATGGTATTTGACTTTCTCCCTCTGACTTATTTCACTTACCATAATACCCTCAAGGTTCATCCATGTTGTCACAAATTGCTGGATTTCATAATTTCTTATGGCTGAGTAGTATTCCATTATGTATATATACCACATCTTCTTGATCCATTCGTCCCTTGATGGGCACCTAGGTTGCTTCCAAGTCTTCGTTACTGTGAATAACACTTCAATGAACATAAGGGTGCACGTATCTTTATGCATTTGTGTTTTCAAGTTCTTTGGATAAATACCCAGCAGTGGAATAGCTGGATCATATGGTAGCTCTATTCTTAATTTTCTGAGGACACTCCATACTGCTTTCCATAGTGGTTGCACCAGTTTGTACTCCCACCAGCAGTGTAGAAGGGTTCCCTTCTCTCCACATCCTCTCCAACACTTGTTTCCTGTCTTGTTAACTATAGCCATTCTGACCAGAGTGAGGTGATACCTCATTGTAGTTTTCACTTGCATTTCCCTGATAGCTAATGATGTTGAACATCTTTACATATGCCTGTTGGCCATCCGTGTATCTTCTTTGGAGAAATCTCTGTCCAGATCTTTTGCCCATTTTTTAATTGGGTTGTTGGTTTTTTGTTGTTGCTGTTCCTAACATACTTTTCATAATCTCTTCTGCAGTGTCACTTAATCCCAATATCCTGTTTTTCTATCAGCTTTTGGATCCAAGGGTAGGCTTTTTATTTAGTCTCTATTAAACTGCACTGTTCATTCACTAGTCTGATAGCTTCTGACCCTGATGTTATCACCCAACATATGCCCTTTTCTCATATAGGTACACGAGTGTATGCTATCCAGAAATCTAGGGGATATGTTCTTTATTCACCTATTGGCCATAAATAACAGTGAATTAAACAATTTATTCAACAACTATTTGTTAAGTAACTGGTATGTACAGGTATTATTCTGGGTATCAGTAAATGAAATGGACAATAACCTCTGTTTGTGGAATTTATATTATTGTGTGTAGGGAGACAGACAATAAGCATAACATCATAAATGAATTACAAAATAGCTTAGAAAATGCTAAATACTATGGGGAAAAAATAGAATGCCCTGAATTTGAGATTGGAAGGAATATGGCAGATTTGATTTAGTGTAAAAAGACTAGTCTGTGATGGGCACATGCAGAGCAAGTAGCCAGTGGTGAGAGATGAGGCTGCAGGGATAGCAGGGGCCCAGATCATGCTGGACTGTGCAGGCTGAGGGGAGGCTTTGAACTTTGTGACCCACTTTCCCTCAAAGCAGAAAGCCATTTCATTGTTTCGAATAACAGAGATGAAATGAGCCTTTTGAAAAGAGAATTGACAGGAGGAAGGTAAGAGGAGTTGTGGTGAGGCAAGAACTGACAGTCCAGAAGGGCCACATGGTGGCTTAGAGCAGAAGAGTGGCAGAGAAGGGGAAAGCAGTGGGGCACTATGAGGAAGAACCGACATTAGGGATAACTCCTGGTTTCTGACTTGAACAATTAGGCAGATGGGTGGAACACTCAGCGAGACAGGAAACCCTGAACTAGGAGAAGTAGTCTGGGGCAAGCCTATTGTGTGTGAGGTGCCTCTATGACATCCACAGACTGTGGAAATGACACGTAGGTAGTTAAATCTATGGATTTGCAAATCAGACATGAGGAAGTACAGTCACATACGTTCATTCAACAAGATACGAATTTCAGTCTTTTTTTTTTTTACATGCCTATAGGACTATCACAAAGCCATGTTAGAGCAGATAAGGAATAGGGTTTTGTGCCACACAGACCTGAGTTGGAATCCTGCTTCCACCACCAGTGAAGTTTTCTTGAGAAGTTTATTTAACTTCTCTGAGCTTTAGCTCCCTCTTCTGTAAGTTGAGGCCATTACTTCTCTGAAGGATTTTTGTCAGGCTTGAAAAAGATAATGTATAAAAACTCCAGCAGATTGGTTTTTTGGAGACAGGAATCCTCAAGTCTCTCTCACCGTCTCTGTCCCTCCCCCCCTTCTCTATTTTTCCTTCTACAATTTCCTATTCTAACTAAGATAACTTTCAAAAAAGGAAATTTGTTCTCACATAACTTGTTCCTAGTGTACCTATATGATCTAGTTGATGACTGACATGTCTCTAAGAATCTGTTCAAGAATTTTTTAACATTGACTATAAGAACGTTGTAGATTTAAGAATGCATCATGTTTTCTTTGGTCAAGCCTTTACCCACATCTGACAGCTCCCATCTGCTACTATCCTTACACAAAATCTAAATGCTCAATAATAGCAATTTGTCATAATGTAAATCAGAGTCACTTGATTTCAATCTAGCTGCACTAGGCAGTTGGGAATTGGCAACTCAGCTTTGATGGAAAGACAAGAAAGTGAGAAAAGTGAAACATTGATGGTACTATTGTGAAATGGATGATCATTTTGCTCAGCCGGGATGATAAAGAGTGACTGAGAAACTAGGATAATACTTCCAATGATACAAAGAGCAGTGTTACTTGGAATAAAAGAGAAGGCAAAGAGAAACAATGCTGCACTCAGTGGGATTTGAGTTTATTACTTCAGAGGTGAGATAATCACAGTGCTGGCTTGGCTTAGGGCGTGACCAAGAGAAGAAACTGCCTAAGTGGAACAGAGGTGAAGATTGTCAGGATATAAAAGAAGAATATTTTAAGAAAACTTATAATAAAAGATGAGTATCTCTACCAGCTACCAAAACATACTATAAAATATCATGCTTACAGCAAAGAAATATGGATGAAAAACAGAGAAACATGAGTGAAAAAGCATGGAGAGCCCAGAAATTGACAAAGTTAGTGTGGGATTATGAAACAATGCTGGACAGTGAGTAGGAAACAGCAAAAACTTAATACATGATATTGGATTCAAATTAGACAGTGTTGTAGAAAAACTAAATATATAACTGTATTCAAATAATCTCCAAATACATCAAAGAATATTAGGGAAATCATAGATGA